TTCACAAACACTTCTTCTCCAGGCCTCTGGAAGCAGCACTCTCCCGCGGGTGTGTAGGCAATGCACACACGGGGACACGAAAGCAGACGGAAAGGACGAATCCATCCCTTTTCCAGCAACCCACACCCCTCGCCCTGAGCGCAGAGCAGCACAGGCGTCTCCAAACGTTTGAAACATGTCTGCAGCTGAAAAGCATCACCTCGCAATCCCCCACAGCCCCCAGGCTGGCCCCGAGCAGAGACCCCGTTTTCACAGCCTGAGGTTGTTGCCCGACATATTTAATGTCTACTTTGTAAAATGAAATGAGAGATGTCTGCCAGAGACCGCCAGCCGGGCCGGGCCGCTGCCTGCTGGGCCGGTCAGGTACGCGCGGTGGGCTGGGCTGGGGTGGGCACGGGGTGCAGGCGCCAGGCTGCACTCCCAGTTAACACTCCCCACAGCCAGGAGGAAGGCGCCATCATTGGTTCTATGCTGTGGAGGAGGAACCTAAGGTTCAGGACAGTGAGGTGGCGCCAAAGAGGCACAGCTGGCGGGAGTCAAACTGGGGTCTTGATAACTGCAAGCCCCTTAGATCTCTGGTGACAGCACAAAATGCTAAGACCTAATATAAACTATCCGGTGCCTTCTGAATGGGAGCATCTTCTTAAGCCCCCTACAGGGGCTCACCCTGGCCATGACACGCCCCAGGCACGAGTGGAAATAGGCTGAACCGACCCGTCCGGTCGTGGAGCCTGGGTCCCCTTGCCTCGCCAGCCAGGCCCCTTCACAGCCTTCCCCTGTCTCCCCTTCACTCTCCGGGTCCCTCCTACAACCCACCCGGCCCCCAACGCTAAGTCAACTGGAGCAGCAGCTTGTGACAATGCCACCTGAAGCTCCTCACCCAGTGCCACCTGCTCCCCCACTACCTCTGCCCGCGCAGCAGGGTCTCTGTCACAGGCGGCACCCCTCCCCACACACCCCGGGCCCTGGATCAGCTCCCTGCCCTCTCGTCAATGCTCGTTCTCAGCAGGTGACCTCCCGAAGTCCCCTTCTCCCGACCAGACAAGCCTTTCCAGGTATCTGCTGGAAGATGGCTCTGCTCTGAGCATCCCGGAAGCACTTTACCTCACACAAAAAGTAATCCCATTACCCCCCCAGCGGGGCCCCAGCTCTCAATCCCGGCTACAGGTACGTCATCGTCCCTGGGGCTGGCCAAGCCCAAACCTAAAGCACTTACTGGAAACACTGAAATCCATCCCTGAGCAATCCCAAAGCCATTAGGTGGGGCCGGCGTCTGCTCCAGGGGACTGACGGTGGCCTGGAATGAACTGCCAGGGGCTCGGAGCCATACAGGGGAAGGAAGGCAGGCGTGTCCCTGCAGGGGTGACCAGACAGGGAGGAGGACAGACGCCTGTCGGAATGAGGGGTCTGAGAAGGCTGCTGATGCAGGGCTGGGAGGCTGGGTCCCACAGGAGAGGCATCCCATCCGTAAATACACTGGGGACCAAGGATACCACGGTTCACCATCAGAGAAGGGAGTTACAAACATGGGAAATCCGGTTGGGTTGGAATGGGGCACTAGTGTAAATGCGTGGATTTTAATGTACACAGACACTGCAGAACTACAGATCCGACCGTGTGTGCACAGACACACATTACACATGCGTGCGTTCCCTCCCTCTGTCCAACGACAGGGGTACGAAGACACGCTAGCTCCAACGAGAGCCCCTCGCAGTCCCTGAGTTCCGTGTGCCTCTGACGGGTACCGGGCTCCTTGGAGAAACGGCTGATCCCAGAATGTGTTCAAAAAGGACAAGATGGGCCAGGAAGTAGGAGGCTCAAAGAATGACAGAAGAAAGACAAAAGGCCACAGGAGCCTGTGGGAGTGGGTTCCCACCGGCTAAGTGGGGAACAAGTTGAGCATCAAGATAAATGATGGGCCAGCAGAGTGGCTCAGTTGGTTAAGAGCGCGAGCTCTGAGCAACAGGGTCGCCGGTTCGATTCCCACATGGGCCAGTGAGCTGCGCCCGAGCTGAGCTGCCGCTGAGCTGGTGAGAGCACGTGTTCTTAGCAGCAAAGTTGCTGGTTCGACTCCCACATGGGAGGATGGGCTGCGCCGCCCCCCTGAAACTAAGACTGAACATGGCACCTTGTGCTGAGCGGTCACGAGCCGCCGACAGGCGGCCGAATGGCTCAGTGTGCAACCAGGTTACCAATTTGACTCCTGCATGGGATGGTGGACTGCGCCCCCCTCACAACTAAGACTAAAGGACAACAACTTGACTTGGAGCTGATGGGTTCTGGAAAAACACACTGTTCCCCTTCCCCAATTCCCCAATAAAATCTAAAACAAAAAGAACAATGATGATAATATCAGATTATAATCCAGTGAATAAAAGAAGAAACCATGAGTTCAAACTGAAGAAGATGCAGTGTGATGAAGACAGGATTATTTACAAGTCTCAAAGCACCTCTTCCCCAAATACCGACTAACTTCAGGGAAACAGAGTTCTCACAGCGCCGAGTTCCCGCAAGCACCAGCTTCATCGGCAATGAGAAATGTTGACCAGTAATGGTACAAACCCAAACCATGCGCGACCTGACAGCTCGCCAGGGGAGGGGGGACGGCAAGCCTTTCCTGTGACGTGCCTGCCAAAGAGGCACAACCAAAATTTAATCCCGAGGAAGCATCCGGGACACTCTGCCGAACGACGAGCCTTTGATCTGAGAGTCAAGGTCATGAAGGTCAGGGAAAGGCTGAGGACCTGTTCCAGGAGGAACGAGGCGGAATTAAGGGCAATGCTCACGTGGCATGGGCCGGGCCCTTGGCCGTAAAGGATGTTATGGGGACAGGTGGCCAGCCTGCACGCCGTCGGAGGCTCACATGGCAGCACGGCGTCTGTGTTAATTCTGTTCTGAGGACCACGTGTGACTTTGAGAAAGAAACTCTTGTTTGACACTAAAGGAATCGGAGGTGATGGGGCATTCCAGCAGCTTATGCTCAAATGAAGCAGGTAGAAAACTGCTTAGTCCTGTACATGCAACTTTGGAACTTTTTTCCCAAGGTAAAAATTTAAATATAGACTGCTAGATACCACTGCTAATTTGCTGAATCAAATTTCTAGGATTCTTCTTTTTCTTGTACCATTATTGTTAAAAGCAGCACCATGAGGACCAGCCCTACCCTAATATAGGCCAAATGAAACCTTTTCAATTTAGAAAAGCCATACGCCCTTTGGAACTAAAAATCCAGAAATTATTACAAAGTGAATGACATTCCTAAATTGCAGAAATTTTTTAAAAACACAATATAAAAAAAATCTGTTCACTTGTTGGATCTTTCACACCAAGAAGTAAGGAATTCTTCTCATTTTCTTTGGCATTGTCCCAGAAACACTGATCAGAGAGACTGTGAGGTGCGAGGGGGGCGTTCTCTGGGTTTTGGGGTGGGGGGCGGAGGGTAGGGGAAGGACCCCTAGAGAATCCAGTAACAACCAAGCCTCCTTGGCGTGGAAAGTACATGTCTACACTCAGACGCCAGCACCCACGAGCCCAGACAGCTCACGCATGCCCAGGACCACACGCCAGGGTCCAGGCTGAGAGGCCTTGCTGTAAAAAACCTAACACAAGAGTAGTTAAAGACAGAGAAAATAGAAAGCAATTGATCAAATTCAGCTTTGACGAGTGACAAATGAAGTGGAAATAGTCAGTGGTGGCTAATAAGAAGTCAGTTTCAGCCAGCACAGTCACCAGGAGATGGCAGACAGCCAAGAAGGTGTCTCAGAAAAGCGGATACAGAAAATGGCTACTGTCACTGGGTGCAGGGACCAGCGGCCTGGGCTGCAGGCGGGGAGGCTATGAGACAAGGACTGTCATCCTAAGACACTCAAATAGAGAGAAAGGCAAGCCCAATGGGGAAAACCTCTATTTGCTTTTCAACTCAGATTAGAATAATTTGAAATTTTTTTTAAAGATTTTTATTGGGGAATTGGGGGAAGAGGAACAGACAAGTTACTGTCCTTTTGTTCTTCAGTCTAGTTGTGGAAGACGTTGCTTCACTGGCCCAAGTTGGCACCATCATTGCGCTCTTCCCAGGCGAGGCACATCAGTCGTCGGCTTCTGGACGGCCGCTCACTGGCCCTCATATGTGGGATCCGAACCGGGGCCCTCTGGCGTCCCAAGCCAGTTCTTAACCATCGCGCCACTCGGCCGGCCCAATAATTTTTAATTTTTGTTATTTAAAGTAGATAAAGGAAATTTCTGCTTTTGCTTAGGATGGAGAAAGCTGGGGGGAGATGTTGCCCCCAATCCCTCAGCAAGGAAAAGCCGAATAATCCTCAATGGAAAAAAAGAGAAATCCACTCGGAGACGGCTTCATTGATAAATCAACCCAAAATTGAGAGAAGTAATACCCATCTGAAAAGCAGCTCTCCCATAAAACAGAAAAGATGGGACTACTTCTCAACTCACTAAATGAGGCCAGTGTTATCATAGTACCAAAACCAAACAAGTATGAGGTATGATCAAAGAATACAGTGGAAGTTCAAATTTTAAAAACTTAATACAGTGAAAGACACATGGCCATTAATCCCCCTCAAAATATTTCCCCTCGCTTCAAACACACTTATCCCATCGTTCTTGCCACTTTCTGAAGCAGCTCTGGAAGTCCTCTTTCATGAGTGTCTTTAGTTGCGCTGTCGTGGCCGCCTCGATGTCCTGAATCGATTCAAAATCTTGTGCTTTCACGGTCATTTTGACTTTGGCCAATGTAAAGGAGAAAATTATATAGCCCAATAATCATCATTTTATTCATTTTACTTGAAACACCTTCTCCACCACAAATCCTAAGTGGAGCATCTGAAATAGCTTAAAGGTTACAGAACTCCAAAAAGAGACGAAATCCTCAGGTTTACAAACGCAAGTGCCAGGCCTCCACTGGACTGGACAGCGGAGGGCAAGCCCTGCGGAGCCCAGAGCCCTGCGGTGCCCTCCTACCGGTCGTGGGGAGGAGCTGAGCTTACCGATCCAGCACTCTAAGCGCGCACAGGGGGTGGTCTTCACCACATCGGGAGGGTCCACACCGACATTCAGGCACAAAACCAAGGCCACACTGACGGTCTTCATCTGGAAACAAGAGAAAATACAAATATTTCAATACGAAACTCAGGGATGCAGTTTCCAGTGAAAAAATGCTCCCTGGACACAGCAGCTCTCCCGGGACGCTGCCTCCCCCGCGCTCTCACTCGCCCGTCACCTGTGCGCCCAGTGTTCTTTCACGAGCAACTCTCTCCTTTGAGAGGTTTTTAAAGTGGGCAGACAGGAGGCATGCGTGGCAGGGACGCTTTCCTCAGGTTCCTGATCATACACGATCATAAACATATACACTTAATCAAAAGTATACACATTTTAAGGCACCTGATACACTCTGCCAAATTCCCTTGCAAAAACTTTGCACTAATTTACGAGACCCTAATCAGTTATCACTATTCTTGTTACATAAAATCATTATTCACTGAATGAGAGAAAATTTGTCATATTGATTTGGTTGGGATTCCTGGTTATTAATAAGGCTAAAATTTTTTTCAAGTATGTATTCACTATTTGTATCTTTTATCTTTTGTGGAGTTTGCACTCATGTTTACACTACCATTTATTTACTAGTGGTTTTTTGTAATCGTCATCTACTCTTTACATATTAAAGACTGCATCCCCATTATTTGTTGCAAGTATTTCCCTCATCTGGTATTTTCCATCTGATTCACGTTTCAACACCCCAAAGCCTCGGTCCATCACCTGACGTACCTTCCGCCCACCTGCCCTGCTGTCAGGCTAGAAATCTGGAAGTCATCCCACCTTCGTTCACTTGTTCCCCAAGTGGACTGAGCACCTGCTAGGCGCCAATCGCTATTTGTCGGTGCTATTTTTAGTACGCCAGGAGGTCAGAGAAGCAAAATCCCTGTGGGAGGGGAGACATCTCAAACGCAGTGGCTGTGGAGGGGCTGGCGGTGCCGTGTCAGGCTTCCCGCCCCCCTCGCCCCACCCAGCTCCGCCTTTCTGGTCCTCCCGCCTAAATGTCTCATCTGTCGTCGTCACCGTCCCCTGGTCCGAACCAGCGCCACNGGCTCCAGCTCCTAAGTTACACCTGGACCAAAACACCAGCACCTCCCGTTTGTTAGGAAAAGTCTTAGAAAGATCGATTCCGCGCTGCGTGCGCTCAGCTTTACAACCTCCGCCTCCCGCCTCCCAGGAAAACTTGCAGTAGAGACTTACGATGAAATGAGTGGCGTTTATTTAACTGCGGAATTTTCAGCTGAAACAACAGCTGGCATTTTTCCTTCAAACTCCTGCAGAACCCAAATTTATGTGCCTACAAGGTAATAAGGCAAAGTCTTAAATGTAATCAGAAGAAATACTTCAGCAGTGGCAAACGGATAAATTATTTAGAGCAGGGCTCGACCGGCCTGGTAAGGGAATCTGGGGCCAACAGCCTGGCAGCTTCAGAAAAACACATTATCACCATGGTCTCTCTATTCCTGTGGACGCCAAACCGCCTTTATCACAGTGCTTAGCGGTGAAGAGTTGAAGCCGGAAAAGAGGAGGGAAAGCACCACTCTCACAACACGGGCGGGTTTTCAGCGGCTGATTTTCCCCACTTCCCGGCTGGAGCTGAGCCACGGCCCCCCCCCAGGCTGTCCCCAACCACAGCGACGTGGAGGCCTACAAGGACTTCCGAGGATTTCCACAAACGTTAATGAAAATGACCTCGTGTCCAGGTGCCCAACCTTTGTGAATTGTGCAATAAAGGACACAGAGAAAGAGAAACCAGATGGATGCTGGGTAGCTACAACCAAGGTCCAGGAATTTAATAACACTCCCATTGTTTTCTTGCAGATGGCACATCAGCCTCTTTATTACTGCGGAAACCTCGAGAGCCCTGTAGAGTGCAATAAAGTGAGTGTGCTCGGCCTGACAGCGTGGCAAAGGACCCTGATTTACAGCAAGGAACCGGGCACCTTGCACACAGACGTCCGAGCTCATGGCTTCCTCATGTTTTGTGCAAACTCCCTGAGGCAGCATGAGGTGAGCCGCACACTGAGCTCCACGCGTGGGATGCCAGGCCTCCCGCCCACCCGCCCATGACCCACGCGAAGCCCAGGGCGGGTGGTGCACCCCTGCGATGCCAGCGCCGAGCCAGTCTGCCATCCCGCTGCGCCCATGACTGTGGGCTCCTCCGAAACAGACGAGTCCCACCAACAGTCTGCAGCAGCAAAATTTTAAAC